TCTTTAACATCAAATCTAAAGGATATTAAATGGTGGTATATCTATCTTTAATTTTAAAATATGACATGATAAAGTTGTATTCAGTCAATAGTACATTATACATTAATATAACATAATGCAGAACATTATTATATGTATTCTTTAGCCTAGAAAAATAGCATTAACAAGATGTTTACAACTAGAAAATATTTTTCATACTTTATCCACGAGCAGAAGTATTAAGTTGGCCTTATGTACTGTCATACTAAAGTATGACACACTTTTTCCTTTATGTTCTTAACTAGAGCTTGCAGAATTAATCTTCCAAACCTCTCAACTTCCTTCTAAAAGGAATGAGAGACACCAGATGGCAGGGTATTTTCTCAACCTCTCCTAGCACAGAAGGAATAATGTGAAGCTCTTTCCCTGGCCCAGTTTTCCCTCCTAATGTCCCAAAAACAGAATCAGGAGCTGCAAGGTTGGAACACACACACACATACACCAAACTAAAAAAAAAAAGAAAGAAAGAGAAAAGGAAGAAAGGAAGGTAATAGGAAAGACAAAGAACAATATGCAGAAATGAAACAAAAACGTGATTAGCATTGTCAACTATCGTCTCAATTCTAGTAAACAGGTGCTTAAGTAGCCTCATACAAGAAAAAGTCCAGTTATAAATATTAAGAAAAATAACAACGCTAAGGCAGAAAAGAAAAACAGGTTTGAAGAGACAGTGTGTCCGTCCCTAACCCGAGGCTTGAAATTTTTGAAGACCATGCGACCTCTCCATCTCTATCCCAGCCCGCCAAAGAGACCAAGGCTTGCTCATTACATCAAAAGGCAAGGAAGGAAGAAATTCTGGGGAGTGAGGATCTCAGGAAAAGAAACTCCGCCGTGGGTATGGGGAAGAGTGGTGTCTGGCCTGATCTCCTTTTGAGAGGGTTCGTGTAGGAGCTTGCAGGGGCGTTTTTACCTTTCCGTGAGGAAAGCGGCGTGGAATTAGCGGCAGAAGTCGAGGAACCAAGCACCTTCCTGGGGGCTCGAGAAGCGACCACTGCGGAGAGAGGGAAAGGAAGACATTCAGAAGGCGGTACGAAGACGGTGGGAGCCACGTTCTCGCCGCACTCTCCGACCCAGCCTATTGGAAAGGATTGGAGAGGAGAGCCCCGCGATCCAGAACAGCAGATAACGCTCCCCTGTCCCCGCCGAAGCGGTTAAAGGGATCAGGCTGCTGCTTCCTGACGGGCTGGACCAGTTTGGCGGACAGGCGGGGAAGCCCCCTCTTCTCCCGCCCATAGCGGAGCTGCCCAGAGAACCACCTGCCCTCCATTATTGTGCCCGACTGCCTCACCTTTTCTGTAGCTGCCAGGCACACTGCCTGCTTTAGTCCGCACCATGTTCGAACTCAAGAGGAGAGCAACTGACTCTCCAGCCGAAGATGTTTCACGGGACAAGGTCCAGAAAACGAATCTCCCGCCACAGTTTATATCGGTCCCTTTCCCGCGCGCTCCACCGACTCTCCCAGACCGCCACTCCCATTGGTTCCGCGCCTTTCACGCGCAACCAATCGCCAGTGTCCAGTGGTAGCTTGTGATTCGTACCCGCCTCAGGAGGGAGGTGCCAGGGCGCTTTCCTGGGATGCAGGGGTGTGTTGGGTGCTAAAATCCGTGCTAAGATTGTGAACTGGGTAAAACAGCCTGCTTAGAAAAGAAAACCCGGGAGGGGAAAGAGCGAATCCCAACATTTCTTCAAAAGTTAACTACAGGCTTAAATCCATAATCTCACTCCTGGAAGTGACTCCTGAAATGTAGCGGACTTGTTAACATCTCAGGCATGAACTCTCTTTACAGCACTCATACTAAAAAAAAACTCTATGGAATGGTCAAACGCTAATACAGTTTATTTACAGGGATGATTTTTTCCCCCCCACCCTTGGCCAGGAGGTGCAGATTGTGGGATTTTAGTTCTTGGATTAGGGATCGAACCCAGGCAGCAGAAATCCCCGAGTTTTGGACGGCTGGACTGCTAGGAAATTCTCTATTTACAGGAATAAATTTTTTTTTTTTAAATGAAACTTTCTAGGATGGTGTGAAACAAGAAAAAACTGAGCAAATTATACATTTTTAAAAATCAAAGAGTTAGTCGCTCAGTCGTGTCTGACTCTGTGACCCCATGGGCCTGTCAGGCTCCTCAATCCATGGGATCTCCAGATAAGAATGCCGGAGTGAGTAGCCGTTTCCTTCTCCAGGGGATCTTCCCGACCCAGGGATCCAACCCTGGGCCTCCACATTGCAGGCAGACTCTTGGGGCCTGAGCCGCTGTACCTACATAAAAGAAACATTATTATAATAATAAAACATTTTCCCTAGACCTGTATGGGATCAGAATTCCTTAAAAATATGTCAAATCTGTTAAGAGTACATCTGTGACACATAGTGAACGTGACTTTAGACTAGGACTATTTTCTATCCCTATGCTTATCTTAATTATTCAAATACGCCTGGGGAATGAATGATTTTCACACAGTGAAGACCAGGCACAAAACCTGATCAGATGAAATTGCCTTAGGATGTACTTTGTTAAACTCCCACTTGAAAGGCAACCCTGAAAGTGCAAGCATGGCATTAATTCTCTCCAATAAATTATGCTTGAACTTTCAGAATAAAGGCTACTTAGTGCTTTAAAAGAATCAACAATTACTTTATGTTTTTGAATTAAAGAACCTAGACAGCAGATGAAATTAACATTATAATAGGAGGAATGGCATTGCAAATTATCTGTAGCTTTCTCTAAATTTTAGAGACTAAAATTACAGCCAAAGTCCTGTCAGAAAAATCAACAAGCCCTAGGGTACCCCTCCTTGTTCTTTATCATCAGGACTCTCTCAGTACACAATGTTTCTTCAATGCGCATTATTTCCTTTTCAGTTAAGTGGTTTCTACAAAGGACTGAATTACCCAGTTCCCAGATCCTTGTAGAGATTAGAGCTGCTTCGAGAATCTGCTGGTCTTTCCTCTTAGTCAACATGCCAAGTAAATTACCAAAAGTATTGCAAATATATCTTTACACACAGAGACAATCTACGTATTACTATATCTGTTTGTATGTCTGTCTTTTTAACGCCAATTATAATAAGGGAGGAGGCATATTAGAGTAAAAACTTACGGAAAAAAGCAGTGCTACTTAGTAAAAATTCTTAATTTAAATGTTTGCTTTAGAAAAGTGCTTCTCCGTTCCAGTTAAATAAACTAGACAGTTGTGTAGCGTGAACCTGAAAATTTTAAAGGCCTAAGGCATTAAGAAAATTGTGGTATGTACAGATGAAATTTCTGCCTAAATTTATACAAAAGAATATCCTTAAGGTGTGCTTGCTTTGCTCAGGCATAAATTTATTTTAATATATGGTAATATTATAAATGGCTTTACATTGCATATATTACAAATAGAGATTACAATCAATAACATATTCCTTATGGAAAAAGAGCACTTTTCTTCTTGAGGACCTAGAATGTCCTATTGTACAAAAAGCTTAAGTTACTCTGTCTTCAAGAAGTTATTCCTCTAGTAATGGGAAGAGAACACGTATAAAAACAGGTAAAGGATTTGGATAAGTTATTTGTATTAAATGTAGCAGATTTCTATGAAGAAACAAAACTTGTGCCCACAGTTTATGAAAATTCAGTCTTTTTTAAGTGTGAAAGTCATATATTTTTCAAATTAATAAAATAATCTAATCTCAACATAAATCAACACACCTATGATTTTGATTATATCGGTGAAAACATAAGGTAGAAACAATATCCAATTAATGTAGTTATTTAGTATAAATAGCCTAATGGGAATGAAAAGCCTATACATGTAACACAAAGCCAGTCAATTAAATTGACCAATGAAATATGTCAAAAGACGTCATGGTTTCCAGAGAAAGCTGGCTAAATTCTCTCCAGTTTGTTGTCCCAGAGGAGAAGGAAGTAGCAAAAAGACCCTTAACTCTGGTCATCTTTAGTTGAAAAACCTTTAACTTCTTTTCCAAAAATTTTATTTTTAATTGGAGGATAATTGCTTTACAATATTGTACTGGTCTCTGTCATACATCAATATGAATGAGCCATAGAAACACATATGTCCCGTCCCTCTTGAACCACCCTCCCACCTCCCACTCCATCCCACTCCTCTAGGTTGTCACAGAGCACCCGAGTTGAGCTCCCTGCATCATACAGCAAATATCCATTAACTGTTTTACATAGGGTGATATGTTTCCAAGCTACTCTCTCAATTCCTCCCACTCTCGCGTCCCCCCACTGTGTCTACAATTGTGTTCTCTACGGGTCTCCACTGCTGCCCTACAAGTAATTTACCATCAGTGCCATCTTTCTAGATTCCCATATATATGCACCTTTAACTTCTTAAAAATCAAGAGAACTCATATTGAAGGTCATCAAAGCCAAATCCCAGCACCTGTTTTATTAAAGTTTTTTTTCCTCCCGCGAGCTTACAGAGTTGTCTTGGCTCTAATAGAAAAGACCTGGCTCAAAAAACCAAATAGAGGTTTTAAAAGTAGCATGATTCACGTATTAGACGACCAAGGGTTTTATAAAGCCTCTACTACCAGAGAAAACACTTAACAACATTTACTCTAGCTTTCAAGTGCTCTTTTAAGTGTTTTCAATAAAACCAGAACCATATCAAAGCTGGCCTCTCAGGTTACGGGGTATCGTTTTATTGTTTCTTAAACTGTAGTTTTTAGAGACATTTGTATCGCCTTAGAATTCCCAGTTCTCGAGCCCTACATCTGACAATGCGGAAGAACCAAGAGCAGAACGGGCTCGGGTTCAAGCGCGAACACTAGGAAGCGGGAAGAAGTAGGAGGGGCATAGGTGGGAGGGAGCTGCGTTGGGGGCGGTGCTGAGGCGCGGGGCGGTGCCGGCTGGCGGAACCTGCGCGAGCGAGGTCGGTTTTGCCAGGGGCCTAGTCTGGTGTAGAACGCCGAGCTTTTGCCGCCCAGCTGGTTCCGGCTCGGGAAAATGGCGGTGGCTGGGGCGGCGTCCCGCCAGCAGCTGGTGGGCTGGTGCACGCAGCAGTTGCGGAAAAGTTTCGGCCTGGATGTCAGTGAGGAGATCGTACAGTAAGACCGGTTCGGGTCCGAGGCGGGAAGGAGCTCTGGGATGTGTACTGACTAAGCAAACGGGGAAGCGGAAAGGACTAAAAAGTTAATGAGAATGAAGAAATTTGATAAAAGGGCTGCTGTCTATCTCCGAGCGCCTAATTATGACCTCCGGCTTTATAGTTTAGCTTTTGGAATAGGATGTCATGCTCCACAATCGGCTGGTGGGGCCTTCTTTCCTCAGGAAAACGCCAAATCCCTGATAATTAGGTCTAATTATCCTTCTTTATACATTTTGGAGAGAAGGAGCAAGCCAAGTTGTCTTTTCAGAGATTCCTTGCTCTGAACATTTTATAAATAGTTTGCCCAGTCCTACTTGTATCAAATAGGGCCTGAAATTTAAAAAAAGGGTGGAGTGGTACTGTGCAAAGATACCTCCTGACTCGGGAATCCCTGGTTCTATTTTCTGTGGTCACTCACCAGTTTCGGAACCTTAGGCAACTTAGCTTCCAATTTTGTACCTTAGTTTCCTCATCTGTAAAATGAATAATTAGCACTGATTATCTTTAATAATTTATGATTCTTGTGAAGTGGAAGTGGTGACTTGATTTAATATCTGCTTTCAATTGATTTAACTTTTTTTTTTTCGTTACTGCATAGCAAGTGCGGGGACAGCAAAGATGAGTGCTGAGGTGAAGGAAGTGCAGGGTATTGGGGAGCATCGAAAAAAGGAGTCTGATTAAGGTTTGAGAAACTCGTGAGATTAATTGCAAGGGATGAATTTAACTTGAGAGCTAAAAGATAGTTAGGTGTCAGTGCAGAGTTCAAGAGTAGGGAAAAATTTCTACAAAAAGTGAACTTTAGAACCTAGAAGTGTTTCTTGATTTGGCTCCTTGCTCATTGATGCTGAAACTTAAATTGCAGCTGTAGGGCTTTTGTAGGAAGTTAGGTGAATTTCTGAGTTTGGGAGAAAATAGTCTTGTTGAAAGGAGAGAGTTAAGAGAGCCTATCTTAAAGGGTAATTTTGAACACAGGTAATAGATTATCAGAAAATCCCAGTTAAGTGAATATTGTATCACTTACATGTGGAATTCTAAAAAGTGACATCAATGACTTTTATTTACAAAACAGAAACAGACTCACAGACGTAGAAGACTAAACTTATGGTTACCGTAGGGAAAGGGAGAGGGGATAAATTGGGAGTGTGGAATTAACAAATACATATCACTATATATGAAATAGTTGAACAACGATTTACTATATAGCCCGGGACATGGACCAACAGACTGGTTCCAAATAGGAAAAGGAGTACGTCAAGGCTGTATATTGTCACCCTGCTTATTTAACTTATATGCAGAGTACATCATGAGAAATGCTGGGCTGGAAGAAGCACAAGCTAGAATCAAGATTGCCGGGAGAAATATCAATAACCTCAGATAGGCAGATGACACCACCCTTATGGCAGAAAGTGAAGAAGAACTAAAGAGCCTCTTGATGAAAGTGAAAGAGGACAGTGAAAAAGTTGGCTTAAAGCTCAACCTTCAGAAAACTAAGATCATGGCATCTGGTCCCATCACTTCATGGGAAATAGATGGGGAAACAGTGGAAGCAGTGTCAGACTTTATTTTTGGGGGCTCTAAAATCACTGCAGATGGTGACTGCAGCCATTAAATTAAAAGACGCTTACTCCTTGGAAGGAAAGTTATGACCAACCTAGATAGCATTAAAAAGCAGAGACATTACTTTGTCAACAAAGGTCCGTCTAGTCAAGGCTATGGTTTTTCCAGCGGTCATGTATGGATGTGAGAGTCGGACTATCAAGAAAGCTGAGTGCCAAAGAATTGATGCTTTTGAACTGTGGTGTTGGAGAAGACTCTTGAGAGTCCCTTGGACTGCAAGGAGATCGAACCAGTCCATCATAAAGGAGATCAGCTCTGGGTGTTCTTTGGAAGGACTGATGCTGAAGCTGAAACTCCAATACTTTGGCCACCTCATGCGAAGAGCTGACTCATTGGAAAAGACCCTGATGCTGGGAGGGATTGGGGGCAGGAGGAGAAGGGGACGACAGAGGATGAGATGGCTGGATGGCATCACCGACTTGATGGGCATGAGTTTGAGTAAACTCCGGGAGTTGGTGATGGACAGGGAGGCCTGGCGTGCTGTGATTCATGGGCTCGCAAAGAGTCAGACATGACTGAGCGACTGAACTGAACTGAACAGAGAACTACATTAAATATTTTGTAATAACTTAGAAAAGAATATGAAAAAAATGTACATATCCAAATCACTTTGCTGTACACCTGAAACTAACACAAAGTTGTAAATCAACTATATTTCAGTTTTTTAAAATTTTAAATATTTAGAGATATTTTTAAGATTAAAGAAAAGAAAACCAATCCAGTCAAATTGGATGGCGTGGCTTTACCCTTCTTTGAAGGCAGGATCAAGTTAAGTAGTTTTTAGACATTTTTTCAAGCAGTGGAATGCTGTCAAATGAAATAATGAAGCTTTGTGATATACCAAACAACAAAAAAAACCTATCAGTTAAAAGAAAAAAAGATTGAGGCTATTTCTGATGCATCAACAATGGAGTTTGGATAGTTGCAGGCTTCTCAGTTTAAGAATCCAGTTGTATTGTGTTGCTTATACAGTATTAGGAAAATTCTGATTCTCATAGATTGTGGTTTAATAGCTCATTTTGCAGCCTTAGATTTTCCTCGGTTAAACTTATCCACACAGTTGAAAGAGGAGTGATCAGAAATTTCTGTTTTAAAGTTGCAGCACTAAGTATGGCTGTACACTTGCTTGTATTTAAAAATATTTATAAGTTAGACAAGAATTGTCCAAAAGATAAACAAGCACTAAAACTACCTATAATTTAGTGCTGTTGGAACCACTTCTAGGTTTTCACTAGCTATTGCACAACAAACTATGATGCCATGGTGAAAGCATTTGCTGTATAGATTTGCTGTGCCTTGTCTTGCCTGATATTTAATTGAGAATTACCCAGATATACTATAATAGTGTGCTAACTTGAACAGTTTGACACAAGTGGCCTGAATTTTTTAAAAAGACAGCATAAAGTTGTTACTCCTAATCAGTGACTCATTTATGGGACAATAAGGTCTGTACACAGAGTTAGCAAAATAAACCTTGTTCCACCGTCTGCATTAGTTTTGGTTGGATCTATTTTGTTAAGATTTGATATTTAACACAGTTGGATGTATGTTGCTCTTTATTATTCTTTGTTAAATGTTTAATATGACATTTATTCAATTTTTTCTAAAGCTCTAAATAATTCCCTTGTGCCTTGCATATTCCAGAGTTAAATGACACTTTGAGGTTCTTTGCAGCGCTCTGAATTCTTGATACCAATTAATCTTTTAACGGGGCCTAGTAAGTTTGGGGATCAAGTTGATTAAACCTTAAAATTCGTTAAAAACAGTTGTCTATTTTGTAAAAATTTGTATTTGATTAGGAGATGCTCTTAAGGAGGCCCAAAGGCACACGCTTGTTCTCTTATAGATTCTGACTCTGTAAATCAACCATCACATTAGGTAAAGAACCTAGTACATTTACTACCAAGGATGGGACAATTACATAATTTTTTTTTAATTCAAAGACTATATCATTATTGTAATAATTTTTCTTGTATCTCATACCAGTGTGTCTATATTACAGTTTCCTCAGATCATGTAATGCTGTCATGGTCTGATACCTGAATTTTTTCACTTTTCTAATGATGTAACATAGTCACTGTAGAAAACTAAAAAAAAAATCAGCAAATGGTAAAGGAGGAAACCAAGATTACCATAATACCATAACCCAGAGATAACTCTTTTTCTCTTTTAGTGTTTTTTCCTATGCATATTGTAATACATTTCCAAAATATATTCATTGTAAAGGAATAAAGAAAATAAAAACAAACCCAACTGTTTTTAATCATCTCTCTTAGCGGAAATCATTTTAATGTGTAACCTTAGAAGGTTTTCTACAAAAAAGAAGCCTTTTTTCTGCACACAAGTCTATGGATATAGACATTCCTTTTATAGCAATTGAGATCATATACTATATGGGTTGTCCTACTATTTCACTTTATATGAGAGCATTTTTCCTCAGGTAATAGTAATTATTTAGGGAATTCCCTGGGGGTCCAGTAGTTCGGACTCCAAGCTTTCACTGCTGAGGGCACAGTTTAATTCCTGGTTAGGAAACTAAGATCCCCCAAGCCTGGCGACATGGTAAATAATAATAATAATAATGTAAACAGGTTAATGATTAAAAAATAATAATTTTTCAAACATTTCACTTTTAGTGACCACATATTAGATTTTGTAAAGTCCAAAAACTTGAATTCATTTGCTTGCTCCTTGCATTAATGAAGGTTTAAATAGCCTCCAGTTTTTTGCTGACTCAAATAATGATATAGTTAACATTTTTGCATAAATTCCTATGTCTCTTATTTCTTAGAGAGCTCTGTAAATGGAATTACTGGATTGTTTTTAAGGCACTTTCAATATATTGTCTGATTGGTTTATAGAAAAGTACTGACTTGTACTCCTACCCCTTTTATTTATTTATTTATTTTTTCCTACCCCTTTTAGATTTCACTTTTCGAAACCCCTCATCCTATTTTCTTAAAGTAGATCTCATTCTGATATGATGCTAATCTTTTTTTTTGCCAATCTTAATTTATAATTTTTAAGAATGTTAAATCAGTAACTGGTTAGCTTGTAGTATACATATTTTTAGCAAAAAAAAGAGATTTTAGGTTTTACAGTATAAAAATTAAGTACTTTGTATTGTTCCTAGGAAAATATAATGACTGCCGATGTGTAGTTATGGAAAATATTATGTTTTTTAAAAAATAGTGATTGTTAACAGTTTATTGAGATATAAGTTTTGTTCAGTAGAGTCACTTGTTCAAATGTAAAATTTGATCAGTTTTACAAGTATATGTAGCTTTGTAACCATTCATCAATCACGACATAGGTAGTTCTTGCCTTGCGCGGTAGTATGGAACCATAAAAATGACCGTGCAGGCTTAGACCCTGCAAAGTGATCTTAATTTAAAAAAAAAAAGGGACAATTTTTCCGTTATTCTATGACCTTCAGAAATGTTTGTCAAAATGTTAAAAATTCTGCTGCTATCAGAGTAGAGAAATTTAAAAAATAAAACAAATACTTATTTCGTACACTTAATTTTATGTTGGAGTCTGGTTGATTAACAATGCTATGTTAGTTTCAGGTAAATAGCAGAGTAATTTAGTTGTGTGTGTGTGTGTGTGTGTGTGTGTATCCTTTTTCAAGTTATTTTCCCAGTTAAGTTAGAAAGTATTTCTATGTTTAGGAAAGTCCCACAAGCCTAGCTTCAAAACACTGATTTGATTCTAGAAATAAAATTTGTTAGTTTCAGGTATACAGCAAGTGATTCAGTGATACCTGTATATTTCTTTTCAAGTTATTTTCCCATTTAGGTTAAAAAGTATTTCTATGTTAAGGACAGCCCCAGAAGCCTGTTTTCAAAACACTGATTTGATTCTAGAAATATAAGAAGATAACATGAAAGTTAAGACTATGAACTAGTTGCCTTCAGGCTTTGTCCTAATCAAATTTATATCCCTATCATCTAACCTTGAACTTGGCTCAAAATAAACACTCTAATGGATTAATAAATGTTTTTTACTACCTTGATCTCTGTTATGATTATTGAAACACATAGAATAAACTAGCTTTGTTTTAACAACTTATTTCTTTGCTTCTTGAGGTATGTTTTGTCCATTGAGAGTGCTGAAGAGATACGAGAATATGTTACTGACCTCCTCCAGGGAAATGAGGGCAAAAAAGGTCAATTTATAGAAGAGCTTGTAACCAAATGGCAAAAGAATGATCAGGAGTTGACTTCTGATGCTCCGCAGCAGTCCTTCAAGAAAGATGGTAGGTTAAGTTAATGTGATTAACTGATATAAATTAGAGGTTAAAATATTGGTAAACTGGCTGGTTTATAGGATTGCATATGTTCTATCACCCCATATTCCCTCAGAGCTAACTTAAGCAGAATCGTGTTTACATGTTTTTAGTTCAGTTCTCTTGTTGTATAGTAGCTAAGTCACGTCCAACTCTTTGGCAACCCCATGGACTGTAGCCCTCCAGGCTTCTCTGTCCATGGAATTCTCCAGGCAAGGATACTGGAGTGGGTTGTCCTTTTTTCCTCCAAAGGGTCTTTCTCACCCAGGGATCAAACCCAAGTCTCCTGCATTAGCAGGTGGATTCTTTACCACTGAGCCACCTGGGAAGCCCAAGTTCAGTTCTACTTGATCTGTAATGAATATTGTTTTAGTTCAGACTTTTTCAACTTAGAAAATATCACAAAAATACTTGTTTGTAGATACAGCTGTAGCTTCAGAGTAACTTGAAAAATTTAAAACATGGATTAAAGAAAAACTTTATACAATAATGTAAGTAAATGTTGACCGGTTTCAGTATGAGTAGCATTTACAAGTAACTAATAAGTTAAACAGGAGAAGGCTATGGCAACCCACTCCAGTACTCTTGCCTGGAAAATCCCATGGATGGAGCAGCCTGGTGGGCTGCAGTCCACGGGGTTGCTAAGAGTCGGACATGACTGAGCTGCTTCACTTTCACTTTTCACTTTCATGCATTGGAGAAGGAAATGGCAACCCACTCCAGTGTTCTTGCCTGGAGAATCCCAGGGACGGGGGAGCCTGGTGGGCTGCCGTCTGTGGGGTCGCACCGAGTCGGACACGACTGAAGCGACTTAGCAGCAGCAGCAATAAGTTAGACAGTACTAAAGATGAGCACCAAACTAAATAAGTCATTATTGTTATACAGTCTAAAATATCAGATTTTAATTTAACTTCTATGTTTTTGGCTATACTACATGACTTGCAGTACCTTGGTCTCCCCACCAGGGCTTGAGCCCTGGCCCTTGTCAGCGAAAACTCTGGAGTCCTAACCACTGGGCAACGAGGGAATTCTATTTAATTTAACTTCTTTTTAAAATTTTTTTATACTCTTTTTTTTTAATTGGAAGATGATTGCTTTACAATGTTGTGTTGGTTTCTGCCATGCAATGTAAATCAGGCGTAAGTATAATTTAACTTCTTAATGTTACCCAGTAGTCTTTATCATTGACTGTAATCTTGAAAAATGATAGTTTGAATATAATTCTGATTTGAGAGGAAGAGATAATTTAAAAACCTGCCTGACTTCTTGACTCTAATATTAAGCATTGCCTTCCCTTTATTAGCTATTAACTTACCAATGAATCCTACTATTTCTAATCTATCTATGTACATATATATACACATACACACACATATGTTTTTTTCTTCTTTAAATAAATGTTAGAAGGCCAGAGATCAGGAGACCAGCTGAAGAGGAGTAGGCGGAAAGGGAGAAACAAACAGGAAGCTCCTGCATTTACTGAGCCTGATGCAACCACAGAGGTCAAAACACCTTTTGATTTGGCCAAGGTGAGTGCTCAGAAATGAGGCTTTTTCTGGCTCTATGGAAAAGATGAAACACCTGATACATTTCCGAGAACAAGGGGTATACATTAATCTAGAATGGCAACTTGCAACAAGTGTATGAATTTTAAAGAGTGATAATGATAGCATATTCCTTTCTATATGGTAGTTTGGTTTTGTTGTTGTTTTTTGCAGCTTGATTAAATTAGTATTATAAGGACATTTTTAGTGATTATAAATAGATACAATAGAAAATATTTAAGGAAATGCACCAGGGCTTCAATTTCAACATTTTTTGTGGGTTTGTACTGGAAGAATTAATTTGAACTTTAGCTGTTTTAAGATGTTCCTATGTTAGAACATTGACTACTACCACCACTGTCATCGTTATTTAGCATTTAGAGCTCTTTCATATTCTCTCTTGGCTCCCAAAGTAGCCCCATGAAGTAAGCAGAAATATTTATATTCAGGGTAGTTAGTAGTAGTGATCAAAAAATTCATTTGTGGTGACTGTGCAACAACATGTGGAGAAGGGTTTCCAAAATAATGTGAACTTAAAAAAAAATTGTCTTAAGCCTTTTGTTAATTGGAATAAAATTAGCAAAGACTGTCATAAGCAAAAGAAAAAATACAAATGACCAATAAACATTAAAAATATTTATCCTTACCAGCAATTAAGTGACTAGTTTGTCACCTTAGTTGCCTGGACTCTCCTGGTTTTAGCACTGACAAGTCCTGTATTCTGAGATTCCACTGAGTCCTGGGCAAACAAGGATGGTTGGTTATGCTACTAATAATCAAATAAATACACGTTAAATCCCCTGAGATACTACCTATCAAATTGTCAAAGTTTTTTTTTTCTTTGACCTCACCACTCAGGTATGAGATCTTCGTTCCCCAACCAGGAATTGAACCCATGCCCCCTGTGTGGGAGCTTCACTACTAGACCGCCAGGGAAGTCCCTATAAGTTATTATTGAATAGAACTGAGGTTTCATTGTCATTGCTTTCATTGACTGCTTTCATTGTCATTAATTATTTGATGTTATTCTGATATCTTTGTACCATTAGGCACAAGACAACAGCAGCTCCTTGAAGAAGAAGACGAAGTTTGTCAGTTTATATACAAAAGAGGGACAGGACAAGCTTGCAGTCCTGATTCCAGGTCGCCACCCTTGTGATTGCCTGGGCCAGAAGCACAAACTGATCAACAACTGTCTGATCTGTGGGCGGATTGTCTGTGAACAAGAGGGTTCTGGCCCCTGCTTATTTTGTGGTTCTCTGGTAAATTGTTTCTCTCCTGTTTTACTATGCTTTGGTTTTGGTTTTTTACTATGCTTTTGACTTTATTACACCCCTAGTAAGTTCTCTTTTTCTTAGTAAATTTCTTCCCTAAGGTGTCCTGTAAATTAAAAAAATTTTTTTAATTGAAGTACAGTTAATTTACAGTGCTATGCTACTAGTAAATTCTTATAGCACGAACTTTAGCCAAAAACCCAAGGTGATACCCTAGAATGAGGCCTATTTGTGAGAAGGACTTTGATCACATATATTATGAGGAATCCCAAGTCTTGTGTCAGATTCAATTCAATTCAGGAAAACTTTAGGGCCTGAAATGTCAAAAATTTTTGTCAGATCTCAGATGTGGCTCATATTTCTAGGGATGCAGAGTCACTGTGACATAATTGTCAGGTCTTTATAGCTTGTTTTTCCAGAACACCTTCTTTTTATAATGCTTCATTATCTGAGTGAGTGATCTCAAAAGTATAGCTGTAATTACAAACACCCGAGTGAGTTGTCTAGAAGGCTTGTTCTGCCAGTTGAGCTGACTAGCAGAAACAGTGGCATTTGCTATTGGTGAAAGCATATTTTGTGTTGCTTTGTTTTCCCTTTTCTTGTGGGGCCTTTAATTTTTCCATATACTCAGATAATAAGTTGATTGACAGTGGATGACCTGAAAAATGTAGTATCTAATATCAAAAATGTTCAGAAAACAGTAGCAAATATCCTCCCATATGGGGCTTTTCTCTAGAGAAATACCCGACAGCTGCTGGCCGGAGCTCCATGTGCCACTCAGGCAACTGCTAGCAAAGTACAGTGTTTTCTGTTGGGTCTCTTGGATCCTTCTGTTCAAGAAACAAAGTATGGAGAAGGAAATGGCAACCCACTCCACTGTTCTTGCCTGGAGAATCCCAGGGACAGGGGAGCCTGGTGGGCTGCCGTCTATGGGGTCGCACAGAGTCAGACACGACTGAAGTGATGCAGCAGCAGCAGCAGCATACTTAAGTGCTAAAAAGGCGTTACTAGTAGGAACCAAAAAAGCTTTGGCTACAAATTGTATTCTTGGTAATGTTTCTAAATGCATTCTGTTAATGTTAAAATTTCTAACACACACATTTCTTATGTGTAAGTTTTTTAAGAAAATTGTCTTATTCAAGTATTGCATGCTTGCTGCCTTTCATATAATTCCATATTACTTTTTAAAAATAAAGTTATTTCTAGGAAAAAGAAAAGAAACAAAGTAATGTAAAGCAGATTGGCCTTGAAGTCTTGCAGTTTTATTAATTAAGCTTAGTATGAAATTGTTTTTAAGTAACTCCTTTTTTAAAGTAAAATACCTTCTTATTACTTGTAAGTGATTTTATAATATAATTTTTTCTTTGCTTAATATGTTTATCACTTTACAAGTAGGTAATGTTTGAAGGCAAAGAAAATACACGTAAAAGCTAGACTAGTTTTCACTGTTGGCACTGTATTTTGCTTCTTTTTTTTGACTTTTTTTAATAAGATACTTGTGGAACTTCCCTGGTGGTCCGGTGGTTAAGACTCTGTGCTTCCATTACCACGTGGTGCAACCAAAAATAAATAAATAAGATACTTGCTTATAATTTCACTCGTAAGACTTGAATTTTATGATTAGAAATGGAAGACTTTTTAAAAAATGTATTTTTCTGTATTCTTAGTGGTGGCAAATTTTTCTATTTTGAAAGTAGATTAGCCTTTTTTTTTAAACTAGTCATTTAGGGACACTTGCAGTTTTTTGTATGGTTCATAAAAGAAGGAAGAAATGGAAAAAGACTAGGGTGAAACTCATTTGGATATATATTTTTTGGTGTATTTGTCTTGATTAAAAAACACTGACAGTCTTATTATTTTATTGCTGTATCTAATGTGTAATTTGAGGTTACTTTTTAAGTATATCAAGCAAAAAATATCTTAACTATTGGATCATATGTTTTGTCACTTTATTAGGTATGTACTCATGAAGAACGAGATATTTTACAGCGTGACTCAAACAAGAGCCAGAAACTACTAAAGAAGCTCATGTCAGGTAGGCAGCAATCTTTTAATTGGATCACTGTGGTGATGGATCTGTGATTGTTGTATCTGTGATTGTTTCTCTTACTTGTATCCTGGTATGTAAGATGCAGTTTATTTACTCATTTATTCTCTAAGCATTTTTAAAAAAATATTCTTATTAAAACCACCTAACATTGAGCAAAAAAAAAAAAATAGTAACAATAATACTATTGGATTATAACCCAAAGAATATAATAAGAATTAACTGAATAATTAATAAATGGGGGAAAAGGGACTGCTCTTACAGAATTCCAATTAATAAAATGAAAGAATTGTGGGAACAGAAAATCATCATTTCTACACCACAGTAGTAATAATTGCTACAAGCAGGATCCACCAATGGATGCTGAAATTATTGGATGAAAGTTTAAGAATTGGAGATGTGCATGATCGTGAAAGAAAAGGAAAGACTGAAAAACTGTCACAATTTGAAAAGAGACTAAGGAGAAAGGACAACTAATTGCAGTGTAGGATCTTGAATTGGATCCCTAAACAGAAAAATAATATCAGTGGAAAAGATGTTGAAATCCAAGTGAAGTCTGTAATGCAGTTAACGATGTTGTACCGAAGTTAATTTCCTACGTTTGACAAGGGCACTATGGTTGTGTAAGATAAGGCACTGACATTAAAGGAAGAGGAGTCGAAGTCATACAGGAACTCTCCGTTTTCTGCAGCTCCTCACGGTTTTTTGTAATTGAACAAAGCATAACAAAATTAGTTAAGGACATTTTTAAAGGGAAAACAATCTACTCAGCCCTTTCTATTTGTGCAGGTACTTCATTCCTGCTTTATTTCATAGTTGTTTTTTAAATGTAGGTAGATTGGTTGGTATTATGAAGTAGTAATCACAGTGTATACAGAATTTTATGTTTTTCCATTTTTAACTAATATTTTGTAATTGTTTATGTTGCCATTCATATTTGTAATTTTTAGTGCCTAAAAATAGTCATTAAATTTATTTATTATAATTTGATTATTTTCCCATTACTGGATATTTTTACTCTTTCCAAATTATAAATGTTAACACAAACGGTCCACTTTGTTAATACTGTATCTTTTGATTTATTTCCTTGGGATAAATTCCTAGGAATGGGATTACTGAGTCAAAGAATATGATCATTTTTGACACTTAAGACATATTTGCCAAAAACCAAAAAAAAGACATATATGCCATATTCTTTTATCAAAATACTGTGCTGCTGCTGCTAAGTTGCTTTAGTCTTGTCCGACTCTGCGACCCCATCGACGGCAGCCCACCAGGCTCCCCCGTCCCTGGGATTCTGCAGGCAAGAACCCTGGAGTGGGTTGCCATTTCCTTCTCCAGTGCATGAAAGTGAAAAGTGAAAGTGAAGTCACTCAGTCATTTCTGACTCTTGGTGACCCCATAGATGGCAGCCTACCAGGCTCCTCTGTCCTTGGGATTTTTCAGGCAGAAGTACTGCAGTGGGTTGCCATTGCCTTCTCCAATACTGTGCTAGTTTACAACAAGTAGTATTTTACCCCCAAACCTATCACTATTGAGTTTGGACATTTCATATTATTTTATTTTTATTGTCATCATTTTTTAAATGATTATTAATGAGGTAGAACATGTCTCCATACTTTTTCCATTAGAATTTCTCTAGGGTCATTATGAAACAGGTAGTTCTCAGTGCCTTTTTTCTTCGGCTGCTTTGAGTCTTCATTGCTGCATGGGCTTTCTCTAGTTGTGGTGGGCAGGGGCTACTTTCTAGTTTTGGTGCTTGGGCTTCTAATTGTGGTGGCTTCTCTTGTTGCAAAGTGTGGGCTTCAGTAGTTATGGCACATGGCCTTAGTTGCCCCCTGGCGTGTAGGATCTTCCCAGACCAGGGATCAAACCCTTATCCCCTGTATGACAAGGTGGATTCCCAACCACTGGGCCATCAGGGAAGCCCCAGTACTTTTCTTATATCCAGAACACAAGAAGCAATCTCTTTTTTTTTTTTTTTTTTAAATTTTAAAAGAAAGATTTGACAGGACTTTAAGTAGGCCTGGAGTTTTAGGTAAAGAGAAAGCCTTCATTATAGCCTAGTTGCTTTCCTAACACATTTTAGATCTTGATTCTATCATAATTTATGGGTATCTTTTCTGATACATAGATATATGGTATGTTGTCATTAGGGAGATAACACATCGACTGAGGAATGGATGTGGGCCTTAGAGTTAGACCTAAGGTTAAATTTTGTTTCTACCTTTTAATTTTTAACTTACCAGAACTTGGTGAATTTATTAATGTTTCTGAACTTCAGTTTCTTTATCCATAAAATAAAGATAATAAAAACTGTCTTACAAGGCTACTGTGAGAATTAAGTAATATAATATGTAATTTTATAGTTGTCATCATTGCTTTAACATCTGATAAGTTCCCATTGTTGATTTCTGTTCCTTTCCTGAAATTTCTTCTCTTTTTTCCTTTTGTTATTTAGTTTTTAACTTTGATATATAGAAGTAGTTTAAAGATGATATTCAGCCCTACTCAATGAAGTTTTTTTTATTTATAAGGCATTTTTATGTTGTTTTATTAAAACAGTCTGTTACCCTTAGTAATCCACATTCCCGTAAGGAAAGGAGTGGATCCTTAACATTGATTGAGGACTTACTATGTTTCAAGTGCTGCTTGATGCCTGAGGAAGTAAAGCGTGGCCTGTGGTACCTGTTTGTTTTCCATTAAAATGAAGGCTATCATTAATTAGGAAAACAGCCATACCTTCTGATATTTTTTTCTTTGCTGCACATGATACAGCTAATTTGTATGATACATTGACACCATTTGATTTCCTTACTGAATTTCAGGGACAGAGAATTCTGGGAAAGTGGACATCTCTACCAAGGACCTTCTTCCTCATCAAGAATTGCGATTTAAATCTGGTCTGGAGAAGGCTATCAAGCATAAAGACAAGCTGTTAGAGTTTGACAGAACTAGGTATGATGTGGTCAGAATTAAAAAGGCTAAGAAGTAGAGTAGTCCATTATTTTGGCACTCTACCTGCAGCAAAAGAAGAGCAAATGCTCTGTGTAGGAGGTCAGCCACTTGTTTTGAATCATGTTTGACTAAGATAGGCTTCCACCAAGAGGACCTACCCTGCAACATGTTCTGTTTCTTGGCAAATGCTTGTGTACCCCCTGGAAAGTTGATTTGGATGGAATTCCCCACTTGTTTCACTTGAAGGCATTCATTAATTCAGTCAATGTATGCTGGATACTCCATAAGAAACTGTCTCTGGGAGAGCGTTGATACCATCTCATGGGGACACATGACTTACCCTCCCTTTTTCCTCTGACACTATAAAGTTATTTTCTGATTTAATAATGTCCCTAAATTGAGTTTTATACTCCTGTGCTTTTGTCATTTAGCCCTCTCACCTCTCTTTAGGAGAGAGGTTTATGGATTTGTTAGTTCTAATTTTTTTTCTTCTTTTGGGCAAAGTATGTTGAAACCCAACTAATGGTAAAGAATGTTTGAGTAGTACGTGTGTGCTCACTTCTCAAGTAGCCATGTGGGAATCCTTAGAAAGACCCTGAATCTCTTACTGTGGCAACTGAATATGTCTGTTCCTGGCATTACAATCCTTTGGTTATATGCACCTACTACTTTGAAATAATTTGCTAGGAATACATGAGATATACTTTTTGAAAGCTCTTCCCTAGGTACGCCCATCACAGGTTTTTAAATATCACTTTTACCCTTACTCAGTGAAATTTTCATCAGAAATAGAGTACATTTTTTGATAAACAAAAACTGGAAGAGAGTCTCTCCTTATTGGTATTTCATTTATGCCAGTGTGTTTCCAGGGGCACCAATTTCATTATGTAAGTTTGTGTATGGGACCACTCTTCAGTCTATTTTAAAACTTTTATAATTCCAGCCAGGTCCTGGAAAATTGAAATCAGAATCTGATTTTCAGTATTTCCCTATGCCTGTGTATGTCACTAATTAGTAATTATTCCTTTTACACTAATTTTATGATTCTGGAGTAGTCACTTAACTTCTTTGAGGCCCAGGTTTATTATCTATAGAAGGAGAGAGTTGGGTCATCAGGATTCCCTCTAGTTGTTAATTTTTTTGTTGGTATGATCTTAGAAATAAGCCTGATTGTCTTATCTTGGAACTGGGCCCTTGTATATTAAGTGAGGGACTGGGGATGAGGTTAGGGAGGGGGTGGAGGAGGTGGTGGAAACTGATGTGTAGCAGTAATGCAGTAATAAGATATCCTAAAAATATGCTCCAGGACTGAGGGTCCAGGATAGAAGTCCAGTTTCTAAGCAAAGTGGCAGCAACTGGGTCTAGCAGGAGTAGTCTAGGTCCAGATTGTAGAAAGACTAGGTTATTAAGTAAGCTGCCAAGACATGAACTCAGAGGCAGCAAAATGACCCATAAGCCCAGTTATAAGAAAGTGAGGGCTGGACTAGTAGGAAAATAGGAGGACAGTGGATATGGTGCTATGTCTTTTTCTGCCTGAGGGTGAGATTTGTTCTAAGAGCTGAGCCTGCAGTGGGAATAAGGTATATACAGAAGCTAGAATCAGAGCTTGACCTGGTTTGGGAACATTCTGGAGCTTCTACATTTGAAATAATAACCTTCAGGACAGCACTTCAGAGTAAGCTGCTTGTAGCAGTTTCCCAATAGTCAAATCCCTGTTTGTTAACAGGTAACCTAATTGCCATGTATTCTTTTTCTTTCCTTAGCATTCGAAGGACCCAAGTCATTGATGATGAGTCAGATTACTTTGCTAGTGATTCTAACCAGTGGTTGTCCAAAATTGAGCGGGAGGCCATACAGAAGCGAGACGAGGAGCTGAGAGAATTTCGACATGCCTCTCGGCTCTCTAAGAAGATCACCATTGATTTTGCAGGCAGGAAAATTGTGGAAGATGAAGATCCTCTAGCTGAGTATCACAGCAAGTAAGTGGGCAAAACCAGAAAGGTCTGAGAGAATTGGGGAGTTTTAACTGTAAAGGATTTGCCCTCCCCCCAGCCCCACCCTTTAATGAGTTTGTTATTTTTGTTAGTTTTTAGAGTAATATATTCATTTGGAGTAGAAACATGGATGAGTAAGAAAATTTTGAAAATGAGCAGTGAGGCTAACTTGTCCTATCAGATAACTACTGTGGTTTTAGAAAAAGTTGTTTTTAAAGCAATGAGGTACAGTTTGGGCACAAGAATAGATAAATGAAATGTAATAGAATCCAGAAAAGACACCTGTATGTCTGCATTGTGTGTGTATGGGTGTATGTTTATAGTTACATAAAACTTTTCTGAACAGTAAGAAAAGGATTAAATGAAGGGCCATCAGCTTTGAAAAAAATACACATTAGATCTCTACCTCAAAAACAAAAAATCTCTACTTCAAAGTATGCTGTTATAATAAGTTTGACTAAAGAGTTAAATGCGAGAGAATTCCCTAGTGGTCTAGTGGTTAGGACTCTAAGCTTTCACTGCTGGGAGTCCCAGTTTGATTCCTGGTCAGGGAACTAAGATCACATAAGCCCTATAGTGTTGCTCCCCCCACACCAAAAAAAAGTTGAATACAAAAGAAATTAAAAGGATCAGAAGGAAACAAAATAGTAGAAATTTATAATATAGTTAATGTCTTGGTATAATAAAGCTCTTTCTAAGTAAGATACAAAAGTCAAAAAGACTTAAGATATTTTAAATGATGTAAATAAGTACAAGACTGGAGAGAAAGCATTTTAAACGGTTTTAACAGTTCAAAAAAGCAATACCCATACTATATAAAGACACATCTGGTGGAAAAATGGGCAAAAGCTAAGAACAGATAATTTACAGGTGAGGAAATGAAAATAACCAATAAACATTTGAAAAGATGCTCAGCTTCTTATTAGGTAAATGAAAGCTTTGAAACATGTATCATTAAGTTGTCTGAAATTTAAAATTTATAATACTGCATAATCTGTGACTAATAATATGAATATGTTCTCTTACTGTGGCGGGGAATAGTAAAATGTTCAAGTCTCATCACCAAGAATGAACCCTAATGGAAACTATGGGTTTTGGTGATAATGATGTGTCAGTGTAGGTTGATCAGTTGTGACAAATGTATTACTCCTGTGAGGGATAGTTGATAATGGGAAAGGCTGTGAGTGGGGGGTGGTGGGGGGGGTCAGAAGGTAAATGGGAAATCTGAATCTTCCATTCAGCTTTGCTTTGATCCTAAAGCTGCTCTAAAACGTAAAGTTTATTAAATAAAACTTGCATCATGGTCAGTTTCAGGTTATCAATATGAAGTCACTGAATATAGTGTTGAGAAAAGATGAATGTTAACTCTAGCATAGCACTGAAAAGAAGACGTGTGGATATCTCATTCCACACGTTTTGGAAGTGGCATACATATCTCTGTCTCTCCTCTCTCTCTCTTACACACACACACGCACGCACACACACACAGAAAACTGGATAATGGCGAACACAGTAATGCTTTCTACTCGACCCAGTCCTTGACCTTTCTCTTTGATTTGTGGCAGATCCATCACAGATTTTTCCTGAACAGAGGTTATTCTCTCCTTAAGGCAAATGCTACCACTAACTGCAGTAAATTTGTTTTCAACTATTGCATGTGTGATACACAGATATAAAGAAAAAATTGTTTCTGGGTGATGGGTATAGGAATTTTTCATTTTATATTAATTTGTATTTTCTTGTTTTCCATAATACGCATGGATCGTTTTTATAACAAAAATCATTTTTATGTTCAATAAAAAGCAGCACAGCCTTTTAGAAGTAAAATTGGACACTATCTCAAAATTCAAATTGTGCATAGCTTTTGACTTTTTGACACTAGATACCAAGATGCTAGTTTCTTTGTTTCTTTCTTTTTTTTTTTCATTTATTTTTATTAATTGGCGGCTAATTATTTTACAATATTGTAGTGGTTTTTTCCATACATTGACATGAATCAGGCATGGATTTACATGTATTCCCCATCCTGAACCCCCCTCCCTGTCTGTTTCTTAACAACAACAAAAAAATTGCCATTCTGATACATAAAAAATGGTAGTTTTTCATAATTTTTATTCACTTTCCCCCCCTTTGGTTGTATGGTAGTAGGTGTGAGCATTCTAAAATGTATTGAGTAGCTATTTGTATTTTTTTCTTCAATAGATTCTGGAGTTCTAGATGTCCTTAACCAGTGTACTATGTCTTAAACCTGTTTCCCTCCTTTAGATTTCATTATCCCTGTCCTATTTTACACTCACTTCTTATCTCAAATTCTTGTACTTTTTGTTTTGTTTTGTCTTAGCTTCATGTCTTTGTTTCTGCTTTTCCCTTGCTTTGGAAATCCTTCCTTCCAACTTTGCCTTTCAAATATCTGCCTCCCCTTTGAACTTCCTTGGTACAACACATGAGATGATAAGTAGTAACTACAAAATGGATTGTATCTGTCTCATAGTAATAATTACATCCTCTCATGTTTTGTTTATCATTATTTTAGCTGTCTTAAACCTGCCACTTAGATTCAAAGCTTTCTGAAGGCAGGAAAACCCTGATCTCCTCCCCTTTTAAGGTGCCTTGTGTGTAAGAAGTGCCAAACAAATACCTCTTTAATTATATTCAAGGTCAGGTTCAGCCTTCCCTGCCAGTAGAACCTTTTCATTATCTTGTCCCTTAGAATTACCATCGTCCACAAACATTTGTCAAGCAGGGACATGGTAGTATAGCGGCAAGTAATGAAAAGCTGTAGAGCAGAGTAAGAGATGGTTCCTGCAGGACCTGTGATCACTCACTAACCAGGAGGACTAGTTCCATAACCTTCAACTGAAATCATCACATTCTTTTATAGGTTGAGAGCTGAATATTCATAGCAAACACCACAGACACAGGATTACCTGGGCTATATTTGGTGACTGTTTAAATAGAAAGTGCTGCAGGACTTCAGAGAAAGGAATAAGTACTTTTGTGCTGGGTGGGTGAAGGGACTCCTTAGAAATTCTGGGCCATGAAGCAAGGATAGAATTGAGATCAGCATGGAGGAATGGGAAGGGACTGTTGAGCAGGCAGAAGAATAATTGAAGGTGTTGAGAAATAGTCTGCCCTAGAATACTCTTCTGTGGGTCAGACTGTTTCCAGGCAAGTTTTCTAATCTTGGCATTTTTAATAATGTTGTTAAAAAGATGAGTGATTATAATGTGTGCTACCTATTTTTTGTGTGTTCTGAAACTTCAACTAACTAATCTTCCTTAGGGTTCTTAGAGTGAAGAGAAGAGAAGGGGAAGTTAGTAGGGGGAGCAGGGAAGGTCATCCATGGATCCCTCTTTGAATTTCATATTCTATTACTAATGAAGAGTCTTATATGTGTGCCAACTAAGCATATTTTGAGCATACGACATTGCCAATTATTGCATCCTTTGGTTTGTTATCACAGACTAGATGAGGCAATACATGCCATTGCCAATGGAACCTTGAACCAACCACTGACCAAGTTGGATAGATCTTCTGAAGAGCCTTTGGGACTTCTAGTGAATCCCAACCTGTACCAGCCCCCTCCCGAGGTTAGTGGAACTTTGCTCTAACTGATGGTGAGAAAAGTTTGGGCCCAGATATTTCTTCTTTCAAGTGTGCCTGTTTTATAGGCTGTAGACACCAGTCTGCTCTCTAAATACTCCTACCCACCTTATTCTCTGACCCAGTTTGTCCAATTTTTTTTTTGCAGCACCTGTGACAAGTTACCATTTGAGTATTACCCAAGAGAAGGTTTTAAGTACGCTAGAGGTTTAAGGGCTTCTCAGGTGGCACTAATTGTAAAGAACCTGCCTATGATCTCAGTGCAGAATACCATAAGAGACATGTGGGTTGGAAAGATTCCCTGGAAGAGGGCATGGCAGTCCACTCCAGTATTCTTGCCTGGAAAATCCCTTGGACAGAAGCCTGACGGGCTATAGACCATGGGGTTGCAAAGAGTCGGACACGACTAAAGCAACTTAGCACACACACACGAACAGAGATTTAAAATACTCCCATGGTCCTTTCGTTAATGCTTTTTGTTTGTCTTTTATAGAATGTGGGTAGTCCCCTAGTGTTGTGTTGTAAATTAATACATTAATTCACTTATCCATTGTTGTCATACATTTTGACATTAAGTACATTGAGCACCTAATGTGTATAATCCCAGAAGTAAGTGATCAACCAGACACTGCTTCTTTCCTCAGAGAACTCATGGACTAGTGGTGGAAAAGATGACATAGGCAGTTCTAATGTTGATAAAGATATAAATAAGTACAGTGGAAACCCAGAGGAGGGAAAGACAGTTGAGAGGAATAAAAGAGGCTTTTATAGGGAAGCTGGCATTCATTAAAAGTAAGTATCCAAGTAAATGGTGTTTGGGGATGGTGGGGAAAAAAACAGTCCAGTCAGAATTAACCACAGGAACAAGGCATGGGAAACACACACACACACACAGTTGAACAGTGTAGGGGAGGATTGGGAGTGGTGGCCCTCTGCACAGTCAGAAATTCATGTTTAAGTTATAGTTGGCCCTACGTAAAGTAGTTCCACATCCACAGTAGGTTCCACATCTACAACCAACTACGGGTCATGTAGTTCTATAGTATTTATTATTGAAAAAAAAACCCACGTATAAGTGGACCCACATAGTTCAAACCTATATCATTCAAGCATCAACTATGTAGGGAATAGTGAATTTGGACTACAAATGTAGTACTCATAAAAGGAATTTTCATAGAAAACAAGTGGGGTTAAGTAGGTAGAGTCAGATCACTAAAGAGTTAAATGTTCAGCTAGAGAGTTTTCACATTTTTATTTCATAAATGTGAATCATAGAATGTTCTTAAGCAGAGAGATGCAATCAGAGCAGTGTTTAGACAGTTTAACTGGAGATCCTCATGCAGCACTGTACATAAGCCAGGTTCTTTGCTGAACGCATGCATGTTCAGTTGTGTCCGACTTTTTGCAGCCCCATGGACTGCAGCTTGCCAGGCTCCTCTGTCCTTGGGATTTTCCAGGCAAAAAATACTGGAGCAGTTTGCCATTTCCTACTCCAAGGGATCTTCTCAACCTGCGGATTGAACCCGAGTCTCTTGCTACTCCTGAATTGGCAGATGGATTCTTTACCCCTGTGCCACATGGGAAGCCCTCTTTGCTAAGTGCTGGGAAATTAAAAGGTAAAAACCCTTGAGGTTTTTAAGGACTTCAGGTTTTATGGGAAGACGTGTTTGAATACAAAGAATTTCAGTTCCTTAAGATAATTGCTATAATAGACACATGTCATTAGGAGAGAGATTGTAAACTCACAGGAGTCACAAAAGAAATGGTGTTTGAGGAGACTTAAGGGATGAATAAGCAGACAGATTTGGGGAGGGACTTTTAGGTAGTTGGTATAACATGTACAAAGGCTCTCAGCAGCTTGAGAGCACTGTAGGCTGGGAGAACCATAAGTAATTAAGTATTCTTAGAGATTAAACTGTACTATTAAGTGTATTAGTTTCCCAGGCAGCTGTAACAAAAGACCACAACTGGTTGGCTTAAGACAAGAAGTTTATTCTCTCACAATTCTCAACACTGAAATCAAAGTGTTGGCAGGGCCCCACTTCCTCCAAAGGTTCTATGGGAGAATGCTTCGTTGCTTCTTTGAGGTTTTGGTGGCCCTGGGCATCCCTTAGTTTATAGCTGCATCACTCTACTCTCTGCCTCTGCCTTTATGTGGACTTCTTCCCCGTATGTCTCTGTCTGTAGGTATTCTATCCTTTTTTTCATCTCTCCTTTTGTAAGGGTATCAGTCACTGGATTTGGGGTTTACCCTAATCCAGTATGACTCTGTCTTAGCTTGATTACATCTGTTTGCAAATAGGGTCAATTTCACAAGTTCTGGGAGGACATAAATTTGAGAGGGATGCTACTCATTCCAGTATAGTAGGTAACATCATATCATGAAAGCCCCTATGTCTCAAGAGTTTGGTTTTATTCTAAAGTAGACAGGGAAGACAGTGGGCTTCCCTGGTGGCTCAGATGATAAAGAATCCTCCTGCAATGCGGGAAACCTGGGTTCAATTGGGATGATCCCCTGGAGGAGGGCAAGGCAACCCACTCCAGTATTCTTGCCTGGAGAATCCCCATGGACCAAGGAGCCTGGCCGGCTACAATCCATGGGGTTGCAAAGAGTTGAACACAACTGACTAAGCACACACACACAGACAGGGAAGAGTCTTGGAAGAATTTTAGCAGAAGACTGGCATGACTTGCATGCCTGTGTAGAGAGTGGATTGGAGGGAAAAGGAAGACAGAAGCACGGAAATTGCTCGGACAACGATTGAGCTAGCATAGTGTGAAGACGATCAGGGCCCGGGTTAGTGTTACTCGGGCAGTAGAGAGTTATTTAGAGGTTAAAAATGGAGATGAGATGGGTTATCTCATGGGTTAAAATAGTATTATTAAAAGACAGTAAGATTAATTTAGAACAGTAGCTGTGGGGTAGAAAAACAGGTAATATGAATTAGAACTGTAGTAGAGATAGAACCAGAGAATTTGGACCTCAGGATTGTTCAAATACCAACATTTTTATGAAATCACTTATTTCCCATGTAATGGATAAGTTGTGCTTCTGTGTTCCCACTTACAGACTTAAATCCCTGTGTAGTAATTACTCATATCTGCCTTATGTTGTGGACAGTTATTTAAGTGTCTGTCTTCTACTAGGATTGTAAGTTCCTTGAAAAAGAATCTTTTCTTTTTTTGTATGTCTTCCTACTTTATATGCTTTTCACATATACTGCATTAAGTACTCAAGTGTTTATGGTTTGTTTTTCTTTTAGTTATGACACAATTAATTACAGTCATTTTATTGCCTAAAGATTCTTAGAGATTCAATTAGTCCAACTCCATCATTTTACAGTTGAGAAAACTGAAATCTTAGGGGTTAAATGATTGCTTAGAGCCTCTACCCTCCTAACATTTTTGTTTTCCCTATAAATTATTAAATAAAAGATTAATAACTTAACTAACTGAGAACCTCATCATCCTGACAGAGCCCCTTTTTTTGTAAATAAATTTCAGAGCACTCAGTCTTCTTGCTCAGGAAGAAATGTTAACCTTTGTCATTCTCTGACTGAACTACTGCCAGGACTCTCCAGCCTCCTATAATTATCCATACCCTGCAATTTGTTATCCTTTTCACATGATGGGAGCCTTGTTTCATTGTGTTCCATCGTCTCTTTCAGGGGACAAATTGTTCATTGCAGGATAAGAGAATATTAATAACTTCATACATCCAATAGTCAGAACCTCTGCCCCCTGAAAGCATCTGTTTGGCTTTATCATGGTAACAGTATGTGACCTAGTTCCTTAAGCATTTGAAGAACATGTGAACCAAAATGTTGAACCTTCCTTTGGCTGATAGAACTGTATTTGGAAATTTTCCAGAATCCAGTATGGATCATTAATAAGTTTAAAGTGTTAATAATTTCAAACCAGTTATTTGGTCTGATAGTTGTCCTCTTGCTTAAATTAGGAAGCTATATTTGGAGAATTCAGCATTATCTAACTATCCTTCAAGATGGGACCATGTTTTCATACTTGGGACTTCTACTATATTTATACCTTCTCCATTTTTTTTTTTTACTTTGTTTCAGACAGAGGTGGGGGTACATTTTTCTAAGAGAACGTTCCCAGCATGATTCATTATTATTAGAATACATCTCATTTTGTATGCCTACTCCAGATTTTTCCCTTGTCAGACAAATTGTGTGTTTGATTTCTTTCTTGCATAGTGGATAGACCAGACAGGTGCAGCCTCACAGAAGAAGGCTTTGCATCCAGCAGGATCAGGACTAGAGTTCAGCTCATGTCGGCATCAGTTTCGAATCCAGGACCAAGAATTTCAGGAAGGCTTTGATGGCGGCTGGTGCCTCTCTATGCATCAGCCTTGGGCTTCTCTGCTTGTCCGAGGGATTAAAAGGTAAGGACAGAAGTGAATTTTGACAGTGAAAGATTTTACATAAATTTGATTTAGCTTTATGGATTGGGATTCTTTTTCCCAGCCTAGCAATGATTTATAATACTCATCAACACATAGAACTTTAAGCAGTGTATTCATGCATGTTATGGACTTTTTTTTTAAACTGAATAGCTTAAAAGAAACCGAGTTTAGAAAGACGACAGATCTTAGTCATAACAAAGAATAGAATGTAAGTTTTTTCTTCTTTGGAAGGAAGTTTATTGAGAAAACTTCTCTTGCCTTTGCGTTTGTAATATAGCACTCAGCAACCTTAATGGTTTGATCCTATTAGAAATTCAGAGTTCTTATGCCTGTTTATTAATTTTTAAAAGTCACTAGCTTAATTATGACTGTTTTTCTATCTATACATCTATCTTTTAATATGAATAACCATATTGAGAAGCTGTTCTACCACAAATTCCTTTTCTACAAAAAGTGGGGAGTAGTAGTGAGGATAAGTAGAGGTATTGTAAAGTCGTACATGTGAGTAATGGTGATAGCTTACTCCTCCATGGTTTCATATATTTCCTCTGAGTTCAACTGTTCCCTTTGCTTTTGTAAATGTAAACAGAAAATTGATAAATAGAGAAAAGGAGCTAGAAGAAGAAAGAACATCTATAATTCCACTGCCTAGAAACAGCTATTGTTATAATTTTGGAGTATTTGTATTCTTTATCCTTTGCAAATTGTTACATAGTGAGGTCATAATATGTAGATATATGTTTATGGTTTTCTTCATTCACTAACTATTATATGTTCATTCTCCCTTGTTTTCCTAGTTTTATTGAGATAAAATGGACATAAAACATCGTCAGGGTGTACAACATAATGATTACATATATATGTATATTTTGCAAAATGATCACCATGATATGTTTGTGTTATATCCATCACCTTGCATAGTTACAAATTTTTTGTTTCTTGTGATGAGAACTTTTAAGACCTACTCTCTTAGCAACTTTCAAATATGCAATACAGTATTATTAACTTCAGTCACTATGGTGTACATTACATCTCCAGGATTTATCTTATAATTAAAAGTTTGTATCTTGTGACTGCCTTCACTCAGTCTATCACTGTATTTATGAGTTTGCTTTTCTCAGAGTCTACATGTAAAGTAAGATTGTAAAATATTTATCTTTCTCTGTCTGACTTAGCATAATCTTTCAGGGTTGGTCCATATTATTGCAAGTGTAAGACTTTGTTTTCTTTTATGGCTGAATAATCTTCATCCATCCATTGGTGGACATTTGCATTGTCTCCATGTCTTGGCTGTTGTAAATAATACTGCAGTGAGTGTGAGGATACACATACCTATTTTTTCCTTCTTATTTTATCTGTTAGAATTTTATATCGCTGGCAGTGTCCTAACTCATCACAATAATAATGCCTTATATTTAAATACAATTTTATACTTTTCAAAACAGTAGCTGTGTTGAAGTAGCTCAGTCCAGTATTATTACAGTCTTAAACACTTAAGCAGGCAAAGGTAAAGTGTTGGATTGACCAAAAAATGTGTTTGGATTTTTCCGTAACATGTTATGAAAAACCCGAATGAGGACTTCCCTGGTGGTCTAGTGGTTAAGAGTCCACCTAGCAATGCAAGGGACGTGGGTTCTATCGCTGGTCAAGATCCCACATGCCGTGAGGCAGCTAAGCCTGTGCACTGCAACTAGAGAACCCACGAGCCACGACTGAAGAAGCCTGGGCACTCTAGAGCCTGTGCTGCATAACAAGAGAAGCCTGCACACTGCAACTAGAGATAAGCCCACATGCTGCCATGCAGAGCCTGTGCACTGCAGCAAAGATCCAATGCAGCCAAAAATTTAAAAAAAAAACACAAAAAAACCCCAAACAAACATTTTGACCAACCCAATAGCTTGCTCTGAATTGCAAAGCCTAGTTAGTGGCAGATATGGAACTAGAGTTCTGGTTTTCAAAGTGCTGTTTCCACTCTTACTAAGTAAGCTTCAGTCATTTCTCTGCTTTCTTGAAAAAAAATTATTATCAGAATCTAGGAGCAATCATTTCAACTTTAGTGTTTTCCATGGTTAGCTATGATTTACCTCCTCGTGAAGGTGCATTACTATTTTTCTCCCTTCTTGAAAGTCCAGCTTTCCTGCTTTGCCTCCTAAATGTTCCATAATGTATGTACTAGTGGCATTACAAGTGCGTGTGAATCTGCTTCTGCTCCAGGGCACCTGGGCCCTCAGATGTCTGTTCTTCTCTTTCCATTCTCTGCAGTTGAGGTGTCTTCCTTTCCCAAAGTAGAATACGAAACAGCTTGCTTTTGCTGAGGGAATCAGAATGTTTATATTGCTCTCATCCTATTTTGGATCTGTGTTATCCACATTTTCTCACTGAAAAGAACAGGATGAACAGCATCCAACCCACAGTCACTAATCCCACAGAAACAAAGTGGGTGGTTCTGCCACATTTGTGAGACTGTTTTCCCAGTATCCCTTGGGATCATTTGGAGTAGAGGGAAGAAATATATTGATACATTCTCCATTTATTGGGTATCCACCATGTGCCTGGTACTCTTCCAATTCATCTGTGTTAGAAAACTAAGGATAAGAGAATTTCTGTTTCCCATTATAAGGCAAATATAATAGGGTTATATTATCAGGCTACTTTATTTTGTCTTATAGAAGCTAAAGGAGACACATCTTTTTGTAATCCTTAGAAAGTAGGTAGCTATAACATTCTCTTGATTGCATTTTGTTATTCCACTTAAAGATTCTTTCAAATTAGTTAACAGGTTGTTGAATTATCTACAAAGCATATAACCCTTTATAAAATACTTAGAAAATATAAATGAATGTGGTTGGAATTTAAAGATGATAGCATTTTTATCTAGTTAAACTCTTAAATAGTAACTATGAAAGTACTATTCTTGAGGAGTTATGTGTGGGTGAGGATTTTTCTGTCAGGTTGGAGAACAATGAACAAATCTTTTATGACTCAAAGGCAAGGATTTTAAATTTTGTGGTACAACTCCAATGCTTTGAAAACAGAAGGTTTGGATCATGGAGGTCCAAAGGCTGGTGAAAGGTTCATTTCTGAGTTACAGAGATAGGTAAAAAATAGGAACTGAGAGAGATGAATTGTGTTTGTTCTAATGAAAGGGAAAATTAGGGAACAGGGTTCATATTCAAGTGAAAGGTATCATAGGAGAAATTTTTTTTTCCTATCAGAAATACCCCTCTTGGTGAGATATCATCTGTAGATCTCTTGGCTCACCTGGATAATTTGCTATATGTTAATGAGATCCTCCTGGAGAATGAAATAGCAACCCACTCTAGTATTCTTGTCTGGAGAATCCCATGGACAGAGGACTCTGGTGGGCTGCATCCCACAGGGTTGCAAAGTCGGACATGCCTGAGTGACTTAGCTCGAACATGTGAGATCCTCTATGGGAGGAGGACTCTACAGCTATTAGCTAGATCATGGCAATAGTTTTTTTAGGCAGAAATGTCCATGTACCAGTCTTCCACATACTAGGAACCAAAGCATCACTACGTTTTTTTAGTAGACACTAGAATTTAGATTCTTCCCACTAAATTTATATTTGTTTAAGGGTGGAGGGCAGAAGTTGGTACACCCCTCACAGAGGAAGACTTTGGATAGCAGCCACAGCAAAAAGACCCTCTCCACAAGAAGTCTCAGAACTCCAGACTACTTATCTCTTCCTCCGTGGGAAAGGTAACAGCCACATACTCTTCTAATTTCAGTCTTACTTTGTGAAGAGAAGTCATTGACGTTCATCCTCTTTCACTTCCTTCTTCCTGTGGCTTTTTGGGTTTGGGTTTTTTTTTTTTTGGCTGAAAGGGACTTTAAACTTTGTGTGTTGGGGGGGGCAAATCATGATCTGCTATTCAAAGCATTAAGTCCCCAAACAAGACAAAGAAAAATCTCAGTTTCCAGTGCCAGGAATCAACCAGCTAGTCTTAATTTTCTACATTTTTTGTTACTGTGAGAGTAAAATAACTACTATAAATTCTGGGATCTTTAAATTGGGAAGAACAGCCACAAATAAGACCTCTTTTTATTGGGAGTGACTCAAATAGACATCTGCAATCGGATTTGGACAGGTCAAAGTTAGTTGACTTCAGCAGTGAGTTTTGAGAATCACTGCAAGCACTCTCAATTTATATACTAAAAAACACTTCTGACCATTGGGTGTCTTGGTTTCCTTCCCCTGATTCAATGCATGTAGTAGTTTTGAAGGTAAAATGAGAGAATAAAGAACCACCTTTAAAAGTTAAGAAATCAAGCTTTAGTAAAGAATCAGAAATGCATGTTTCCTTAAAAAGAACTTTTTGTTTTGACTGGTATGACTGGGTTCTTTAAAATTTTTATTCTGACATTCTTATGTTTTTTACCACTTTCTCTCTTGAAACCTCAGATTTCCAGAACCCAGCACTATGAAATTCTAGTCTGATCCAGTTGAGTATAGTGGAATTGATGTGTTTGGAGTGAATTTGTCGGGTCCCTGAACTTCAGTGGTTCGAGGCTTATTTTCCTATAGCTTAGGATATGGATAGTGGACTAAGCCAGTTAACCAACTTTTTTGTTAAAATTCAAACAATTGTGCTAGGCAACAAGCTTCACAGTTTTCCTTATGTCTACAAACAGATGAGAAAATGATTTGTTCAGAATTGAAAAGAGATTTATGAGTTCCAGGGTCACAAAGAAGGAAATTTATATAATCCTCTGTTACTCTTAATATAGATGTGGAATTTCCCAATGACTATCCCTCAGGCTGTCTTCTGGGCTGTGTGGACCTAATTGACTGCTTGTCCCAGAAGCAGTTTAAGGATCAGGTGAGTAAAGAATATTTCTTTTGGACAGATGCTTGATTTGCCAGGATAGATGTCCTATAGATTCTTCAACTCAGAGTATCCTGTATATGGTAAGGAGCTAGAAACTGAATTTAGACATGTGAGTAGAATCTCCTAAGGAGGAAATACGGAGAGAGAAAAGACCACAGCAGAAGCAAACAAACAAACAAACAATAACATAATGATGATGCTTTGCTTCCTAGTATGTGGAAGACTGGTACATGTACATTTCTGCCTAAAAAGCTACTGCCACATCTAACTAACAAGTGTAGAGTCCTTTTCCTTAATAAAGTTTTCCTGTTCTTGGGGAAGAAACTGTTCATTATTCCTTGAATTATTTCAGTTAGATGGTGGAAATGGTAGATTTTGTTATATACTCTGAAACATTTGGTCCAGACTAGAGAATTCATGAAAGACTTGTATGTTTGAACTCTTTGATTGCCTGGACCATGCCATCTTTGGGTATGTGTTTGTGTTTGTATATGCATCTTGTATGTATTTTTATTTATTTTGATTGCTAAAGATTTCCAGGTGGCTCAGTGGTAAAGAATCTGCCTGCCAATGCAGGAAATGCATGTTTGGTCCCTGGGTTGGCAAGATTCCCTGGAGAAGGAAATGGCAACCCATTCCAGTAATTTGCCTGAGAAATCCTCTGACAAGAGCCTGGGGTTGCCGAGTCGGACACGACAGAGCAGAAAGCAGAGAGTACAGTTCTGAACAGCAGAGGGAGCTGAAGGACTTTAGCTTAATTGGAAAACTTTTGAAATTTAGAGCCTTATGTTAAGACTCAGACTAGCAGGAATCCAAAATAGGAAAAGTCCCATCCTTAAAGCCTGAAGAGTCTTACAGTATGGTTTTCCTGTTTTTTGAAACAGTTCCGTTATGCAGTAGGGGTTCCACCACTGTGCTTAAGAATATGTTCTTCACGTTAATTTTCTCAGTTAATTCTTTGTTTTTCAGGAACTCTTAATTGCCTTTCTTTATTAATTAAGTGCTTTAAAAAAAGGAGAAAAACCAAGGACTTTCCTGGTGGTCCAGTGGCTGAGACTCCAAATTCCCAATGTGGAAAGCATGGGTTTGATCCCTGGTCAGGGAACTATACCCCACGTGCCACAGCTAAGACCCAGGATGGCCAAATAAGTTAAAAATGCAAAAAACTGTTCCCATCCATCTCATTTTTTCTATTCGTTCCTCAAAGGCTTTAGCCAATAGTTATTATCCCTCTAGTTTTCTGTCTTTCAGTTTCTTGTGGATTGCCTCCTCAGCCCTTCTCTGATTACTTTGTGAGTACAGTGCTTTCATTTGCTATGAATTTTGACTCTGGCCCTTTTGTTTTGCCCTTAGTACCTGATCTAGACCTAGGCAAAACTGCAGATACATGAAGGCCGTTTGTCTTCCACACCCTTGTGCCTGTTCTATCTATGTATGTATGTTTTGCCCATTATTTTCAGTGTCTTTTTTCTTCTCCTCGCCTCCCTTTTTCCTTTTTTTCATTCTAAAATTAATAATTGTAAAAATCCCTTATGTTGATGTAGACTTTAGAGTTTTAGGTATCTATGAAGAGCTTAATATCACTTGATATATCATATTTTCTTCATAGGATTGCTGCATTCTGAGAGAGAACACAGGAGCATCTGGCCCTGTGTGTGGTGGGTTTTGGCCAGGGGCCTTCCTTTATTATCTCATTTGTTGATCAGGCAGACCACCGGTTGATTCAAGGTCAAATGAATTCAATTTCTAGGCAGTTAACCAATCTTCTTTCTGCGACAAATTTGTGTTGAGAAGGGTAGGAGGCTATAATCCTAGTCTGTCAAGTACCACAAGGTTTATGGAAATTAGAAACTCAGTTAACAGAATAAATCTTTTTGGTTTCTCAAGAATTTCTCTATTTCAGTCAGCATAGTATCCCTCCTTTAGCTTATTTTCTTTTATCCTGAGGATGATCAGGGTAGCACCCAGAAGTATGTGATCCATGTGTTCCCAGCTGAAGGTCCTGGCAACTCTTCATGAATTTTCCTGATGTGTATGACATTAGAATATCCCCAAATGCTAAAAGCCACGAAACTTCCATCAAACAGGAGCCCCATATCTGTTTTCCCTATGGTCAGCTTTGCTGTGGCTTTTCCCCATTGTTTTTTTTTCTCCCCCTTGTTTTTGAGAGTAGCACATGAATGTATCCAGAATTGATAATAGCTCTTTTAGGGGATTATTTATTGGATAAGGCTCTTACCACTTTCAAAGGTTGTAGCTTTGGTATTTGACTGTCTTTTGGAAAATGTCCCAAGCACCTTTGGTCATCTACCTGTCTCTGTTTGAGTTAGCGTTCTGTGATGTAAGAATTGTGATTGCCTAGTCTGTTTTACTAATGTTATTCTCATTTTTTCAAGGATGAGTTGAGAGTTTAGGAATAATAACTCTAGCATTTCCCAAACCATTCCATGGAATAGGTGTTCTCTGGGGGAAAAGAGGGGGAGGAGTAAGGGGTTTCTGTGGATGCATAGAAAATTTATGCAGATTTGGAAAATTTTTTTGGATTTAATAAATTTGTTTGTTTGCTGCAGAATTTCTCAGAGCCCTTAATGTGCTAGTGTCCATTTTGACTCTGAAGTCATCTGATTTATTTGACCAATATAGTATACAGTGTTCTCATAACTTTTTGACCACAACCCCACCCACTCCCACCCCCACGTATTTACATACCAGTATCTTGTATATATAGTTAGTAAGTGCTGGTCTAAATATGTTTGAGGTTTTTTTTGTCCTCATAGATCAGCTCACTGAGGGACAATAATCCAGGAAACAGTTTCTTGATCTGTGTCTTCTTTCTGCATCTTCACACTCATTCCTCATCACCAAGCTGAACTGCATTTTCTTTGGAAACCTATGTAGACCTAGTAATTTTTATTTCAACCGAAACTAATGTCCTGTGTGACTTGGGACCATATTTTACTTCTCCATCTTGTTCGTAAATTTTTCTGTGCCCAGAGGAAGTCAGTAAGTTACTTCCTGAGCTTTCATTCTTGGCCTTTCTTTGATAAGTTAAAGTACACTATTTTGGACATAGTATGATTATTTAGTTCCTTAAAAGAAATAACAGAAAAGGTTTTATTGGTGATTATTTAAAATCAAGTGCACTACACTATAAGTGGCTTTAAAAATATGTGCTTAAAATGCTTTCCCCTGAGCTAAGAACTCGTCTTCCTTTTATCTTCTAAAAGTAGTATGGCTGGCATGGCTGATGTGTGCCAGGAAAAAATCCTGCTAGATTCTCGGTCGTCTTGAGTAATGGCCACGGATCAACCTAAACAAGTTAGGAGCAATGTAGAAAAGGCTGTAGCCTCAACTCAGGAAAGAAAGGTAGGTGAGTGCAGTCTAGTTAAGACTTCTTCTGTATTCCCCTGGAAGCAGCCCATGCCTTGCCAGGGTTTTATCTGCCAGCAGCAGATGTAAGCTCTCAAAAACAGCAGGGAGGATGTTGACTGCAACAATGCATCAAGGCTGTGGTTTGTAACCTCAATAGTAAGGCAGTTAAAACGTTTCTTTTTTTCTTTTTTAACAAAGACATTTTGATTGCCAAATCCATAACCATTAGCAGCTGTGGTTTGAACAATTCTCTAGACCTAACAAGTTTTCAAACAGAAAGTTGAGTTGGAGGCTTTTGTTTCTCTGTGTCTGTGTTGTGTTTGTGCTATTTATATCTCTGCCTTCAATAGAAAATCTGATTTGTCTGAAATCTCTGAGGTCATTGATTATTCTGCTTCTGTACTGAATCCATTCCTTTCCTGCTAGCTTACTGGCTTTTCAGTCCATTTGATCTTAAGGCTTTTGTAAGAGCCAAGATCCTGTATTTAAAGAATTAATGCTGGACCAGTTCTACTGCTGGGTTCCTACAAACTGACATCAGCAAAGTAAGTACTGTTTTCCAGTGGGGAAGAGAGTCTTACTTGTTCCATTTTCTGTAAGAGTATCCATATGATACAGATCTTCAGGAAGATTGCATATATCACTTCATGTGTGGAAACCATCAGCTTCTATCACCAAAGGATTGTCTGTACAACTTGAGAGGTGAAAAATTAAATAGTAGTCAATATTCAGACCAGGCATTGGCATTGAAAAATGCAGAATCCTCAAATTCCCTTTTAAATTATGTGAAAGTGTTTTCTCTGTTTTACTAAGAAAAGCTGCCTGTTCATAGGCCTAGAATGTATGGTTTCTAAGGCATCTTGAGGGCTGCCTCTGAGCCCCAACAAAGAGGGGAACTGTGTCTGCAACGACTAGCCCAGTCAGCCCTAGGCAATTTTTTAAGATCTCAACTCACTTGAGGGAGACAGGGAATGTATTTTCAGAGTTCTCATGAAGACTAGAACATTTCCGTGAGTTTCTAGGTCAGAACAGACTGTCTTTTGAGTTGTTTGCAACCTGGGTATCAAGTGCCCACTTGATGAGGTGAGGACAACCATGTACATTTTAAAATAATCCAGGAAGCATTATGCTTCCTGTTGTACTTACCCTGAAGAGAAGAAGGGGATATGAACACTTTTCTGTGCATTTATATGAATTCTTTAATGTGTATCTTTTCATCTGAAAATGAACATATAATTCTTAAGATTTTCTTTATTTATATATTAATCAATGCTTGAGTGCCTTTGTTTTAGGCACTAAGAGAAACAAAAAGGTGAATCAGCCGTGGGTCTTGTTCTCAGAATGTTTGAAAGAGTACCAGGTAGGTAAGATATATCTACAACCAGGTTTGTAAACAACCAAACAACAAAATAGAAAGCAAAGAGAACTGTCTTAAGGGAAGTAAAGACTGCCTCTGAGGAATTTAAAGGAGAGAGAGGTTGCTTCCAGCTGGGAGGAGGACTTTATTAGGAATGTGGCTTTTTAATTTTCCCCATGGGGACTCAGTATTTCTTCAGGATAAACTCTGAAAAGTAGAACTTAAGAGTTTGAGGTACATACATTTAGAAGTTGTTACAAAC